TTTTTGGGAGACCATAGCACAGCAAATACATTGTCACTAATGAGCCTGTGGCTTGCATTCAAATTCAGCCCAATAGCCTGCCTTTGCAGGGCCTATTGGAGAGTTGAACTGAACAGAATAGCCTGGATCCTGTCTGGAGCTGCCAGTCCCTGAGAATTCCAGGTGATAATGGTGCTTACAAGATGGACCAAGACTCATTGAAAGAGTGGCTTGTATCAGGCTATGCGTGGGAAACTCTGCATTATTATATGTTTTCTGCCATATGGCCTCAACAGTCAACCCAATACAAATCCATAGTACTATCTAATCTTTCTCTGGTTTTCCTGCTATTTATCCAGTCCTGCAGAGGCCATGCATGGCCAACTTCCCAAGTGGGCAGGGGACTAACCATATATGGCAGTTTTGTATGTTTGATATCCTCCACCTCACATAGCCCATACATGTGGAACTGTCTTGTACAAGCATTTTGCTTATATCCCCAGTATCACTTGCCAAGGTCAGTACTCTGTGAAAAACAACAAGAACACCTAATCTGGGCACCCTTGTCAGTACTCAAGGGGCATTCCATGGAGAAGCAATATTTTAGGATTTTTCCGCATTTAATGGGGTTCTAGTAAGAGCTCAGTTAGTGTGGCTTGAAGCCATCAAAAAACTCGGCATGAAGAGCTGAGATTGAAAGATTACTTTAAAAGGGAACATTTGTCAGCATTTCAGCCAATGGGAGTGCTCCAAAATCCCCTTTGAGTGACCGGAGTCGTCGACAGGCCGGAATTCCGGCCTGTCGACGACTCCGCTTCGGCAACGGGCGCTTAATCGAGCGCTTAGTAAGCGATGTAAGTGCACACTGTTACCGCAGCACAATTCACTTGTTTTGGGGTCAAGAAAATGCGGATTAATCAGACAATATTCCAGGATATATGTGGAGCATCCCTGAGCATATTTACAAGTGGAGAAGATTCCCTATATGGTCATTCAGTGCTGACATCAAAACATGCATGTTATTACCATTTTTCCCCACCAATAGCTGTGCTGTGCAACTTCCAGACACATCCATGCATTGTAAACTATGCACATATCCATACAGGTCATAGGCAATGTGTTTCAGAGACAACAAGCCATTCATATCTGCACAGTCACTTGTGATTCTCTAAATGTTGTCCTTTGTTCTTCATTCCTTCAATGTATGATTAACCCTTGAAATGATGGGCTATCAAATGAGTTTATCATCTCTATAACCTCTATAAGAGTTGATTAGATTTCAGTCAGTGTATCCCAGTCAAATGCCACATTCATGCATGTGTTTCTCTGTTTCCTGAATTTCAAACAACTGGGCAAGTCATACTAGTGATATATTGTGGGGGCCTCCATACAAGATGAATTGCCTTCATATACAAGGCAATACAGATGAGTCTGATTACACATAATATTCCCTGATTTTATCTGCATTTTGTGAGCCCAGACTGAGCAGGTTAAGCAAAATTACCATTTTAGGAAGGTCAGCTACCCTATTTAGCAAGTTTGAGATGTCAGAGAATCTGTGGGCAGCATATAGGCTTCAAAAGAGAGACTTTTGAGGTGAAAAGGGATGCACTCATGTGCACAGAGGCATTTGCATGTTTTTTTGTTTTGTGAATTGTGCCATGACCAGTGAAGGTAATGGGCAAGTCACAGCAGCTATAGACTCTATGACATCATACCTATCACAGAGATTATTTTGGGAATTTTCCGCATTTTAGTGGGTCCACAGTACAGCAGGTACAGTGCCACTAAGGAGCTGTGGCTGAGATTCAAACTCAGCTCAAAACCTCGGCAGCCTGCCTGATTAGGGCAGAAAAGGGGCTTGTTGCACCAATCAGAGCAGCTCGGCATCCCTCTCGTGCCGTTCGGAGGTGCAACCGTGCCAAATTTCCGCACGGTTGCACCTCCGAACGGCATCTGGGCGCTTAGTAAGCGATGTAAGTGCGGACTGTTACTGTGCTTAAGAGAGCTTGTATAGGCTCAGAAAAAAGCGGAAAATGGAGACAATATTCAAAATGATCCAGGCAATGTGAATGAAGCTGTATATTGCATGGGTTTGACATCAGATCAGATAGCATTCTCAATAACCTGGTAAGATGGTTGCTGTGGCCCCAGTGAGCTTATATAAGCCTGCTACTTCACTCTTGGAACTGCTCATGTACTGGACAACCCTATAAGATCATAGTGTAAGTACACATTCAGGTATGTATCCCTAGATTGTGTCTGTGAGCAAGACAAAGCCAGCAGTGGATGCATAATTACCATATGGAGTATGTGACCTTCCCAAAGAGGAATCATACACAAACAGGGGCATGTAGGGCTCAGAGAAATGCAGAAAATCTATGAAATATACAGACACATCAAAGACAAGTGTATGATTGCCTTGAGCTGCAATGGTTACCATTACATTGTATGCAAGGGCCATAAGATGGCAAAAGATGCTCAGATTACCCATTATAGTCCTTGTTACCTGTATTATTGAAGCTACTGAGTAGTCCACAGTGTCTGAACTACACATATACATTGCAGTGTACATATAGACCATATTTGAGTCATAAACAAGCAGATTGAATCTGCAGAGGCACATGTGCATTTTTTTGCTTTGCATTTCCTGGGTTAGCCAGCCATTGTATACACTCAATAGAATTTCTGTATACTCTCTGAATGAAGGGCTATCAGATGAGCATACTATGTATACTATGATTTGTTACTGGCTGAGGCTATATAGGCCCTACAGTGTGTGAGCGCTTGGAGCAATGGCCCACCAAGCTGCCAGTCACATGATATGTTTACCAGTTTCCTTATTGGGGGAACTGCTAAGGCGTTTCAATGGGCCTCATAAGATAGGCCCAACGCATTCTCGACTACTATCGGCGTCTGGAAGACGGCACGTGAAGGGCATGCCAACCCCAACCTTAGTGAGATAAGTCCGCATTCGGCCTAACTGACGCGCACCTAGCGAGGGTGGCGATGTTCGACGGCGGGCACACATTGGATGGGCGGATTGTACTATACTAGAGCCACGGTGTGGGGTAGGCCCACATGGGAGCCCCGGCGCGAGCCTCAATACAACGCACACACGGTCAAAGCAAGAAAAGAGGAGCGCGGTAACATTAACACACGACGCATGCGGAGGCTACTGTACACGAACGGCAGGCTCCTCCGCCACCTCATCCTCGACCTCTCCCTCCTCCATCGCCTCGACGTCCCGAGGGTGCGCGAACTGCAAGCGACGCGGTATCCCCGAATAACCATCGGGAACGTACACTCCTTCCGATAAGCGAGCGTGCAAGTCCCGGACGCTGGTCTCAACTGAACTCAGGCCCCGGGCGATACGGACAGCCTCGGAACGAGCGTCACGATTAGCGGTGCGGCACTCGTCCAGGAGGCCTTGGAACCGGGTCAATAGACCATCGAGGCTGTCGGAAGAGGCGCGGAAGGAAGATAACTGCATGGGACGCTCCAGGTACCGAACCGGAAGGAGCGGGCGGCCGAGCTCAGTGTCGGATTGCTCGGCGGTGACACGGTTTGGAGCCCAGGCGATCAACGGGTAGGGCTCGCCCACGTAGCTGTGCTGAGACGGGAGAGTCAGGAACACCTGGTCGAGGTATTCGATCAGGTCCTGCACGTCGGAGTATCGGCGAACGAGCGGAAGGGAAGCATCGCCGTGGGCGACCGCGCGAGACCGAGAATCGAAGAGCATCCGCTGTGTAGAGCGAAGGAAGGTTGGCGAGACATGGAGGATGAGGCGGAAGAAGGCACGTACGATTAGCCATCGGGCGCCATGAGCCCAGGCGAGCCACTCCAGGTCGCTATCGGGGTTCAGACGGGGCTCTACCACTCGCTCGTCCCGAAGGAGGTCGACGAGGCGATAGAAACGGGTGGTGTAGACAATGGTCGAGGGGTTGGGCGGGATGTCAGCGGGCATCGAGGACTCCAACGACGGTGGGCTGGCGAACGGAAGAGGAGGGCAGGGACGGCGGAAGGAGACCTAAGGGTGCGGAAGGAGTAGGAGCGGAGGGAGGCCCAAGGGCGCGGAAGGAGTAGGAGCGGAGGGAGGCCCAAGGGCGCGGAAGGAGTAGGAGCGGAAGGGAGCGGGTGCCAGCGAGGTAGGGACGTGGGAAAGGCAGCGGAAGGGGGCTAGGAGGACGGGGCGGAGGAAAGGGGGAGTTAGTTACCTACCACTACCTCTCAGGACTCAGTATCTAGGTTGCACCGGGCAATCTCAGGCTTCAGGTCCCGTCTCGGGCTCGCGTTTAGGCTAAGGAAGGTCGCAGAAGTTAGGCTCAGGCTCAGGATCCAGGAGAGCTCAGGTTAGGATCGTCGGAGGGAAGGCTATCGAGTATACCAGGCTCAGGAAAGGCGGTCTTCACTAAAGGACATCGCGGACGAAGCGTGCGGCGCACCACCCCATCTCCCCTTTTCCCTCCGCGAGGTACCACGAACCTCGCTCGCTTCCTCCGCGAACCGTCAACTTGCACCAACGACCCCCGCCCATCGTTTTCACCGATACCAAGAATTCCCTTCCGCGTCGTCCACGCACCGGGGACTCGCAATCACCACAACGGTCATATAGATTCAACAGATGTTTTAAATTGTGCTACTCGCGCTCTATGCCAGCAGTTTCAAGCTCTTCAAGGATGCTGTTTGGCAGCACACGATGACCTCGGTATTTTTTACTCGCCCATGCAGCCTGCTTCCCCGACAAACCGCGACGATAAGCATTCATGAAGCGCTGTGAACGCACGAAGAACCGCCGGACAGAGTCGAGAGGCACTGTGTCAAGGGCGGCTATGGTGTTCCGCTCGAGGTCTGCCTCGAGCGTCGATGGTGCGCATTTGCGGTAGACACGTTTTGCAGAACCCCAGCACTGCTCAATCGGATTGAGTTCGCAGTGGAATTTCGGGAGGAAGAGCACCCGGAATCCACGCTGTCGACAATGTCCTTCCAGTGTTGATTCGACATCGCGGAAGTCCGGCTGGTTATACAGAAGACGCCGCATACAGCAATCGAGGGCCGGAGGCTGGCAGTGAAATTTGGGGCATTGTGCACGAAGGCCGACCGTCGCAATACCGCGCTCCTCGAGAATCTTCTCCATGCCCTTGAACACGCCCACTTTCTCCGACCCCTCCTCGAAGTAGAGTGATTGTGGCTGGCCATTTGGCAACACTCCATCTGACATCCGCACGCGTTGCTGAAGCTTCTTCCCGTTCACGCCATAGATCGGCTTCCCATCTTGGCCAATCACATCAACATCAACACCGAACAGGGGCTTATTGGGTGCGGTTTGCGGCGCACAGATAATGCATCATCACTTCGCTTCAGGTGAGTCGGGGCGTTATCGAAGACGAGGACATGTTCTTCGTCTGGGTGTTCACGTTGTAGGATGTCCATGGCCAACGATGCGTGCTCGAGGATCTCGTCATTGGTGAAGTAGCCATCGCGGCTTTTTCCTGCCGTGAAGAGCTTCTGTGCTGACTCGGCCCCATCAGGAGAGCGCAACCATCCATACTCGGCAGAGACGAAATCGGCAACCATAAGGGAAGCTCCCTCTCCCTTGGCATGAGGTTGGGCCTTCTCACCCTTTTTGACCCAGCGAATCTGACGGCGATCATTTGCATAGAATGTCAATTTGTCATGATACCAGAAGACAACTCGCCTCCGAGTTGGGTGACCTGAGCTGTCTCCTGGCAATACAACATTCAAAACAACTCCATGGATTGGGCTGTCATCCGAAAGGGAGATTCGGACATCGCCTGTCAGACGGAATGACCCATCAGGTAAGAGGGGTCCTTGTGCCTCGAATCCGTTGATCCAATCCCGCGTGTATAGGTAGGACCCATCTGCCAAGACAGGTCCCTGAACAAAGGCCCCATCGATGAATTGCTGCACATATGGATCCAGGGCAGCGAGCGCGGGGAGGAAGACATTGTCGCGGTAGTCAACAACATCCGCCCGCTCGTGTCCATCAACGTACTGCCCCGATGGTGTCTTCGTCCAGCGGTAATCAAGCGCGTGCATCCACGCCTGTGCAGTTGAGAGGCCAATCGGCTTCTTCAGGCCATATCGGAGGAGGACTTCGGGATCGGACATGAACTCGACTATGTCCATGGCCCGTACGTACTTTCCCACCGTCTGCAGATGCTCACAGAGAGCATCCTTCAGGTCAGGTTTCTCCAGCAACGACCTCGTCCACTCCCCATTGGACTGAATGGAAGGGCATGTCGGTCCTGCAGGAAATCGCGCGTCCATTTGCGCAGCCGCTTTGCTCGGTGGGGCCCGAATTCCCAGGCCACAGCAGTCTGAAGAGACGCAGCTATCCAGCTCCCAAAACTGTTCGACTCGGGCCGGGTATAGTGACCCAGCAGCATCTTCATCTGTTCCATACGAGACTGGAGCTGATCATCGCCAACAAATCTCAGATAACCGAGCTGACTCTTCCGCCTCGGATGCAACAGCTCGCGGAGATCTCGCAGAGCCACAGTTGCCTCTTCGACAGAAGGTGGAGGCTCAAACATGGGCCGCTTCTCTGGCCTTCTCGGTGAGTCATTCATGCTGTCTTGTGCTGCTCGTATGGCTTCGAGTTCTTCGGACACAGATGCAATCGGAGATTCCACTGCAATGGCATGCTCGGACTCGGAGTCACCAAGACTCGCATGTTCTGTTTATCAAGAGTATAAGGTGCATTATAAGTCTGATATGGCAGTACTGAATGCAAAAATGCGCACCTGTACTAGACATCAGGCCTGACTCGGAGTCGGACACGAAGGCAGGTTGATGCTCAGGTTCCGAGTGGCTTGGAGTCGGAGCAGTCCATGTAGGCTGCGTGATTTCAGCGAAGGTATGTCTCATGTCTTCATAAACCTCCATTGGTGTCTTCGGTAGCTCATGCAACACTGTGTCTAGCTCGGGTCCGGGTGCTGCCTCAAGCTAGAATTGAGGTGGTTTTGGAACTGTGAGTCAGACGAGTTGGTCTCATTCATCGAGGGAGTTACATCACATTTTCCTTCCCTGCATCCACAGCAAGTCGTGGCCGCTTCTGAGCATATGCCCCGAGGTTCTGTAGGCCAACACGACCTCTTTTGTTGTGTGGGGCCATAGTACAGCACAGTCGGGCAGGCCACTGCGCATTACGACCGCGAGACGGCCAGTATATTGTATATTCCAGATTACATAAGCATGTAAATGCTAATATCGAAGACATTGGCTGCGCGAGTGAACACCACCGAGAAATGCGAAATTCGTGAACTGTCAGATATTCTTGAAAGTGCTTTCCTCCAATCTGACAGTGCTACTTTTTTAATATCTCGGTGCTGTATTTCTTTATGCTAGTTTCTCGTGTCCGCTCCCAGCCAAAGTGGTGTACAGGCGCCGAAAGCCGGTACACGTGATGTAGTCGAGAATGCGTTGGGCCTATCTTATCCATAACTGAGCACTTAGCCACTGCATTTGTTTGTATCTGTTGGTCCAAGCCGCGTCGTCTGGGAGTGTAAAATTTCAGACTCAGATAAGCAACCCATACTAACAGTTACTTATCTCTGCTTATCGGGGTGGCTGCAAGTCACGTGCACTGTGGGAACAAACTGCCATTCCGGAGGAATCACTAAGGCGTTTCATGGTGGTCCATCATAAGAACGATACCTTCGTACCTCAGGGATCGTAAAACAGCCACAAAGTCGAAATCAACAAAGCAGTGAAAAATCGGATGAGTGCAGGGGTTCAAATCCCTGAAGATGCAAACATTATAGAAAATGGTAGACTGAAGGGAATGACGTCGAAAAAATACAGTGTAGGCACGGTATAGTGATGGCGTCCATGTAGAATAAAGGGGAACACCAGGACACGTTCCACAACTTGGACAGGGCAATGGAGCTCAGAATAATTCGCAGAAATGCGGAATAAATTCTGAGCTCAACAAGGTGCTCAGTCAGCAATGCCAAGAGCATTAGTACTTGCTGGATATCAGGCCACAATGGATAGAATTATGGTATTGGTCGGCCAGTTGTGTTACGATCCCTGAGGTACGAAGGTATCGTTCTTATGATGGACCACCATGAAACGCCTTAGCGATTCCTCCGGAATGGCAGTTTGTTCCCACAGTGCACGTGACTTGCAGCCACCCCGATAAGCAGAGATAAGTAACTGTTAGTATGGGTTGCTTATCTGAGTCTGAAATTTTACACTCCCAGACGACGCGGCTTGGACCAACAGATACAAACAAATGCAGTGGCTAAGTGCTCAGTTATGGATATGAGGCCCATTCACTGGGGACAAGACGCGTTGCTCGTCGCGCGAACATGTTACGGACATTCTACGACTTATGATAAATTTTCCCACGGTGTTCAGTCGCCGAACACTCGAGGATCATTGACAGTGACTGCCCCGTGTTCGAAGTCCCAAGCATTGCAACAGCATTATCATTGTCTGGACGATTAACATGAGGCGTGTTCATGGTGTGTTCCATAAGAGTGCATAGACCAAACACTATGCATGATCCTCATCTGTAAGCCACATGTTCTGTGTCTGTACATGCCGAGTGTACACCGTCGTGATATGAAGCGAACATTGCAAGCACATGATAACTGTTCTTGCAATGTTCCGAGTATGACCACCGTGCATGTCTGGAGGTCAAACATGGTCACAACATTGTAAAAACATTGGTTCTTAATCATGTTCTTTCAATGATCACACATGTCCTTGGAATGTTAACTCCCCAAATCTTCAAAATGTCCGGTGCATGAACATGAGAACACAATGCTTCATGGTCATGGTATGTCGTCACAATGTGGTGCATACAAACATTGTGGTTGGTTTACACATGTCCTAATCGAGGTCACACTATAAACATACCCTGTGACAGTACAATGTTTGCTCTCCGAACATGACATGCACATTTGGCATGTTCGAGTCGCAAACAGCAGTGCTGTCCATACAATGTTCTTTTCTCCGAACATCTGAGAGACACTTGGCATGGTCGTGCGATGTCCTGAGGAATAACATCGAGGGAAAATATGTCATAAGTCGGAAGATGTCCGTATAATGTTTGAACTCCGGTCAACGCGTCTTGCCCCCGGTGATTGAAACACCTTAGCAGTTCCCCCAATAAGGAAACTGGTAAACATATCATGTGACTGGCAGCTTGGTGGGCCATTGCTCCAAGCGCTCACACACTGTAGGGCCTATATAGCCTCAGCCAGTAACAAATCATAGTATACATAGTATGCTCATCTGATAGCCCTTCATTCAGAGAGTATACAGAAATTCTATTGAGTGTATACAATGGCTGGCTAACCCAGGAAATGCAAAGCAAAAAAATGCACATGTGCCTCTGCAGATTCAATCTGCTTGTTTATGACTCAAATATGGTCTATATGTACACTGCAATGTATATGTGTAGTTCAGACACTGTGGACTACTCAGTAGCTTCAATAATACAGGTAACAAGGACTATAATGGGTAATCTGAGCATCTTTTGCCATCTTATGGCCCTTGCATACAATGTAATGGTAACCATTGCAGCTCAAGGCAATCATACACTTGTCTTTGATGTGTCTGTATATTTCATAGATTTTCTGCATTTCTCTGAGCCCTACATGCCCCTGTTTGTGTATGATTCCTCTTTGGGAAGGTCACATACTCCATATGGTAATTATGCATCCACTGCTGGCTTTGTCTTGCTCACAGACACAATCTAGGGATACATACCTGAATGTGTACTTACACTATGATCTTATAGGGTTGTCCAGTACATGAGCAGTTCCAAGAGTGAAGTAGCAGGCTTATATAAGCTCACTGGGGCCACAGCAACCATCTTACCAGGTTATTGAGAATGCTATCTGATCTGATGTCAAACCCATGCAATATACAGCTTCATTCACATTGCCTGGATCATTTTGAATATTGTCTCCATTTTCCGCTTTTTTCTGAGCCTATACAAGCTCTCTTAAGCACAGTAACAGTCCGCACTTACATCGCTTACTAAGCGCCCAGATGCCGTTCGGAGGTGCAACCGTGCGGAAATTTGGCACGGTTGCACCTCCGAACGGCACGAGAGGGATGCCGAGCTGCTCTGATTGGTGCAACAAGCCCCTTTTCTGCCCTAATCAGGCAGGCTGCCGAGGTTTTGAGCTGAGTTTGAATCTCAGCCACAGCTCCTTAGTGGCACTGTACCTGCTGTACTGTGGACCCACTAAAATGCGGAAAATTCCCAAAATAATCTCTGTGATAGGTATGATGTCATAGAGTCTATAGCTGCTGTGACTTGCCCATTACCTTCACTGGTCATGGCACAATTCACAAAACAAAAAAACATGCAAATGCCTCTGTGCACATGAGTGCATCCCTTTTCACCTCAAAAGTCTCTCTTTTGAAGCCTATATGCTGCCCACAGATTCTCTGACATCTCAAACTTGCTAAATAGGGTAGCTGACCTTCCTAAAATGGTAATTTTGCTTAACCTGCTCAGTCTGGGCTCACAAAATGCAGATAAAATCAGGGAATATTATGTGTAATCAGACTCATCTGTATTGCCTTGTATATGAAGGCAATTCATCTTGTATGGAGGCCCCCACAATATATCACTAGTATGACTTGCCCAGTTGTTTGAAATTCAGGAAACAGAGAAACACATGCATGAATGTGGCATTTGACTGGGATACACTGACTGAAATCTAATCAACTCTTATAGAGGTTATAGAGATGATAAACTCATTTGATAGCCCATCATTTCAAGGGTTAATCATACATTGAAGGAATGAAGAACAAAGGACAACATTTAGAGAATCACAAGTGACTGTGCAGATATGAATGGCTTGTTGTCTCTGAAACACATTGCCTATGACCTGTATGGATATGTGCATAGTTTACAATGCATGGATGTGTCTGGAAGTTGCACAGCACAGCTATTGGTGGGGAAAAATGGTAATAACATGCATGTTTTGATGTCAGCACTGAATGACCATATAGGGAATCTTCTCCACTTGTAAATATGCTCAGGGATGCTCCACATATATCCTGGAATATTGTCTGATTAATCCGCATTTTCTTGACCCCAAAACAAGTGAATTGTGCTGCGGTAACAGTGTGCACTTACATCGCTTACTAAGCGCTCGATTAAGCGCCCGTTGCCGAAGCGGAGTCGTCGACAGGCCGGAATTCCGGCCTGTCGACGACTCCGGTCACTCAAAGGGGATTTTGGAGCACTCCCATTGGCTGAAATGCTGACAAATGTTCCCTTTTAAAGTAATCTTTCAATCTCAGCTCTTCATGCCGAGTTTTTTGATGGCTTCAAGCCACACTAACTGAGCTCTTACTAGAACCCCATTAAATGCGGAAAAATCCTAAAATATTGCTTCTCCATGGAATGCCCCTTGAGTACTGACAAGGGTGCCCAGATTAGGTGTTCTTGTTGTTTTTCACAGAGTACTGACCTTGGCAAGTGATACTGGGGATATAAGCAAAATGCTTGTACAAGACAGTTCCACATGTATGGGCTATGTGAGGTGGAGGATATCAAACATACAAAACTGCCATATATGGTTAGTCCCCTGCCCACTTGGGAAGTTGGCCATGCATGGCCTCTGCAGGACTGGATAAATAGCAGGAAAACCAGAGAAAGATTAGATAGTACTATGGATTTGTATTGGGTTGACTGTTGAGGCCATATGGCAGAAAACATATAATAATGCAGAGTTTCCCACGCATAGCCTGATACAAGCCACTCTTTCAATGAGTCTTGGTCCATCTTGTAAGCACCATTATCACCTGGAATTCTCAGGGACTGGCAGCTCCAGACAGGATCCCAGGCTATTCTGTTCAGTTCAACTCTCCAATAGGCCCTGCAAAGGCAGGCTATTGGGCTGAATTTGAATGCAAGCCACAGGCTCATTAGTGACAATGTATTTGCTGTGCTATGGTCTCCCAAAAAACAGTTGGGAATATTCCCAGTCATGTATATGATGTCAGAGAGGCTGTACATAGTATGCCTTCCCATGGATTCATATAAACATGGCACCCACCATTCACAAAGCAAAATAAAATACATATGCCTCTGTACACACTGGTTCTTTCACTTTGTTTGTGTTTCCTGTGATGCTTGCCAACTGCCTATGGATTGTGTG